TTGATGTTATAAGTAACCCATGTCTCTGGCCCCTGGGGTGGGGAGACCCCAGGTGTGTGCAGCCTCCCCAGCAGGCTTACGGTCCCGTCCCCCATGGTGGTAACTGGCTTGATAAAGTCCCCTTCACTGGCTTCCTTCCCTGGAACACTTCCCCACCCCCCTGCCTGTGTTACCTTCATCTCAACAAACCACTTGCCCTTGAATACTTGTCTCAGGTCTGCTGCTGGGGAAATCCAAACTGGGATCACCGTCCCTGGTCCTGGGCACCCTGGCCACTGGGGTGGGGGTGTTCCTGAGGCTTCAGAAGGCTCGAGCTACTTAGACCTTTACAAGTTAATATCAAAAACAGAAAAAAAGCACTCTAGCGTTTTTTTGTTGTTTTAAAAGTTATTACTTAAATAATTCATAAGTGATACTATACTGCTCTCTGAGATGACAGAGGAATTTATTTTAATTGTTGACATTGTTACAGATGTCCCCATTGCCCCCACTCCCTCTGCCCACCTCCACCCAGCCCCTGGCCTTCACCCTCTGTTATCTGTGTCCTTGGGCTGGGTATATATGTTCTTTGGCTACTCTCTAAACCTTCTTTTATCCAGCCTCCCCCCTCCCCTGACATGACAGGGGAATTTTTAAGGACAGTTGAAACCACCCTGCTCATCCAATATCAGTGATTGGTGTTGCTGTGGGATAGTGTGAACAGCAATACAGTTATGGTTAACTTGCAGGGCCTCCCCAGTCCCTGGATGTACCCCGTCTCCTGCTGTAGCAGCCTCTCCCTTGTTTCTAACACAGCCTGTGTGTTAGCGCCTCTGCACTGTGGCCCAGTCCTCACTGTCTGTGCCTCAGAGTCAGGTGATCCAGGGGCACCCCGCCTGGCCTTCCTCAGCTCGCTGCTGAGGGATGGATGCATGGCAGGGTCATTCTACCTGCCCTGTGCATGGGGGGGCTGACAATCTACTGACCTTGAACCTCTGCTTCTTTGCAGATATCTCTGTGAGCCTGCTGACCCTTTTGGTCACTGCCTGTGGCCTCGCTCTCTTCGGGGTGTCTCTTTTCGTGTCTTGGAAACTCTGCTGGGTTCCGTGGCGAGAACGAGGCCTGTTCTCTGGTAGCAAAGACAACAACCAGGAGCCTCTTAACTACACGGACACAGAGACCAACGAGCAGGAGAATAGCGAGGGCTTCCTAGACCCTCCGAGCCCCTGCCCTGACTCCTCCATGAAGATCAGCCACACCTCCCCCGACATCCCCCTCTCCACCCAGCCGGGGGCCCAGGACAACTGTGCCCACGGCGTCCGCGTGAAGCGCCAAGTCACGGAGCCGACCTCTTCTTCCCGGTCAGTAATGCCTCCTTCCCTTCTGGATGCAAGGCCGGGACCACCCGCCCCTTCCCTCTCTTGGCAGCAGTGGTATTGGGTAGCCAAGGAGCCTGTGACCTTTCATATGTCCACTCAGTGTCTTAGACATGAATACGGGACATCTCGGGGCCTCCTGCATTCCGTGAGGCTCCTGTGCTCTGTACAGTCTCTGCTGAGTCCATAGTAACAACGTTACCATTACTGAGACTTACTGTGTCAGGCACTGTCTAAGAGCTTTATCTGCACTATTTTATTATAGCTCAACATTGTGTAAGATGGATCCTATTATCATTTTCATTTCACAGAAGAAACTTAATTCAAGGAGATTGTCAAAGACACAGACTGGTAAGCACCCAGGTCAGGGTTTGAACCCTGGTTCAGTCAGCGCCAGAGCCTGAGTATCTGACTGCTTGCAGTGCTGTGGCATTTAGTCCCGTGCCTCTGACCTAGCCCCCCTGTCACACACAGGCTCTCTACACTCCACACAGTGGCTGGGGTCTTTATCCATCTCTAGCCTTTGCAAGGCCTGCAGAGTGCCCAGGCCTGGGGCCCTCTCTCTCTGTGGCTGGATACTTTGTGCCCTTCAGCAGAGGAGGGATAATATAATGTCATAAAAGCAAGGGTTCTGGGGCCCAGTGAACTGGCTTCACTTACACGTGTGATATTGGACCCCTTAGTACATTTCCGTTTCCTATTCTGCAAGGAGGAAGAGTGACAGCAGACGTATAGGTGGTTTTAAGAATGAAACAATAGCTTGGGCATCATGTGCTTTGCACAGGCTACACCTGGTAAATACTCCAAAACCTGGGCTGTCCTTTTGCTCTCAGGGTTGCTCTTATTAGCACCATTATCCTGGAGACGGGCTTCTCCCAAGACTTAGATGTTGCATAAAGGTGGCTTTGAGGTCAAACAGCCAGCTCTGAATCATTGGATATCAAAATTTATTCTCAGTAAGAGACTTTAGGAAAAGAGACTTGGGAAGCGGTTTTCTTTAAAATGAGAATGTTTGCTTGAGCAACAGCCAGAGGAAAGGCTTCTGTTGTTATTTGGAAAGTCTGAGCACAGTTTGGAGGTATTTTTTTAAAAATTCCTTTTTATTTGTTCTCTAGAAACAGCAATAAGATTTTCCCCTTTTTAATGTTAATCGAGTTTATCCTGGAGGCTGTGCTCATTCACATTAAGTGGGATGGAATATGACAGTTTATAATTTAATTTTTTCAGAAACCGACTTTAGCATCATTGCCAATTCTGAATCAAAATGCTAAACTTAAACCGTTCCTCTGCGAGGAAAGGGATGGTTGTTTGCTTTCTGATTTAGAAGAAATCCTCAGACTTTATCACTAGGATTTCTCTCCAGATTTAACACTTAAATATAACTAGAGCTCTCTGACGCTGCTGTGGAGTTCGTGCAGCAGTGCAGACTCAACAAAATCTTCTCAGTACCCCAGTAACGGAGCCTGTCAAAGGGAGTTTCCACTGAAATTGTCTCCTGTTTGGTCTTGTTCTGCATGTTAATTGTTCTGATCAATACAGAGTGATAGTGCTGGGTTTTTTGTTAGATTATAGATCTGAGGGCTCTGCCATCATTCTAATGAATTGATAGCATTCACATCACTCTAATTATCACAGCATTTAGTCTAGAAAAATGTGTAAGTACTCTACATATCAAAAATATATTTTATTTAAAAATAAAAACTATAGATATCTTCACTGCTGATTTGTGGAATTTAGATAGAAGGGGAAAATTAAATAAAAAGAGGAGAGAGAAGGAATTATTCCTGTAAAATATATTTTACACTTGGATTTATTTTTGTTTTGGGGGTCATGCACTTAAGTTATCTTTTCTGGTGGTCAAAATAAATTTAGTTCTCTCTGAACTACCATAAGAAAACTAACTCTTTTTCATTTGCATTTGACCTAATATTGATAATTTGCATCATTATGCATTTTAAAACGTTCTTATCTAAATTATTACTGACCTCGTTTTATGAGTTTTGTCTGGAAACACATATCTTTGCTGATGGTATTACCAGAAGGATGGTCTTGTAATTCTCTAGGAATCCTGTTTAGTTATAAACACACACACAAAGAATTTTTACCAACAAGGTGGGAAAAATTAGTGAAATTTCTTTCATGCTCTGAAGCATTTTTAATATCCTTTTTTAACTAAAATTTTTGATATCCCGTTTGGGGAGAGGGAAGGTAGTCCTTGCTGAGAGGCTCTAAGCTGTCTGCTCTGCCAGCTGCTCTTTCCTCTTTCTTCTTTCTCGCTACGTTCTTTACCTCCCCACGGCTGTCACTTTCTTACTGCTTCCTTCCTGTGGCTGTTATCACTTGTCCCCAAATTCCCAGGACACATCCTTGGCCAGAGCACGTAAGCCTTAGACTCCCAGTTGAGGGCATCCCCACCGTCATTGCAGTTGGCATGGCCTCTGCCACAGCATTTCCATCAGAAAGGCCACCCTCCGCTGGCCCCTTCAGCTCAGACACGTGTGGCTCCCACCAGTGCCTTTTGGAATGTCCTGAAAATGAGCTTTGTTTCATCTTCTAAGAATGTTTCTGGTCAGGATGACTTTCTGTTGTTCTTCCAAGATCAAACACCTTAGCATTGTCTTTCTACTTAGCTCAGTTACTATTAGGACCGTGCAAAATCCTTGTTAATTCTTTTAATTTGGATGTTTGTATAATGACCTAATATCCTGGGAATGGGGGGGTGGGTGTCAAAATTTTTTATTCCCAGGACATTTTAAAGGTCTCTATTCCAAAGATATGAAATTCCCTGGATGCTCAAAATAGAAGGAACCTTGACAGGCCATCTACTCCAATCTTTGATTTATGTCCCACGATGAAAGTCCAATCTGTTTTTCAAACCTTCTCAAATTTCCTATGTCATCTATGATGCATGTGTTTAGAGTAAATATAAGAATGCCATGGACATAGCAGTTTCTCATAATTAAATCTCAGCAGAGAAAATACACATTTATATCTAGTTTCAAGGTCTCATGGAGGTTGAGAGAGGTCTCAGGCAACTTCCATTTTTGAAGCTCTCAGTTTATGAAAATCTGAAGAAAGAACTAAACGAGTACTTCAAAAAATGATAATTTCAAATGTTTCTATCTAACTAATGCTCCCAATACAAAATAGTCTATCTTAATAGAATTGTGCTACTCCTAGAGTAATTACAACATGTCATCCCAGTGCACCACTTACTTGAGTTTTTAAAAAATTTCCGTTGCCACACCGCAAGCTCCTTATCAGATCTGTGAAGGCTCGGTGTGATGTTGCCACAGTCTGCTTCTCTCAGCTGTCAGCCTCACCTCTCTGCCCAGGCCACCACATGTCACAACCCAGAGGACATTGTTTACATGTAGGAGGCTTTATGTGAAAAAGCTCATCACACTCCAGCTACACTAGCCTCTCTCTTAGCTCCTTCGGTGTCTCCAGCTCTTTCCTGCCTTGGGGCCTTCACACAGGCTGCTCCTTCTGCCTGAAATGCTTTTCCTTTTTCTTTGCCGTGCCTGGCTCCTTTGCAGCCTCCATTCCCACCTAAAATGTCACCTCCTCCGAAGGGCCTCCCTGATCACCCTGTCTGAAGTATCGTTCTTTCCTCCACTCCCTCCCACTCTTAATTCTCTCACACACGGCCTTGCTTTCACTTCTTCAGAGGATTGAACTCCGTTTTTAACCAAACGATTGTTTATTGCTTACACCCCCTCTAGACTGTGAGTTCTGCGAGCTCAAAGACCACCCACCCGCTTTGTTTCTCCCTAAATATGTAGCCCGTAGTGCGGCCTCTGGCACAGAGCAGACATTTTCGTGAATGACTAACACGTTCATCAGTGTCAGGCCACTTTCTCCTGTTCTGCTGATAGGACTGGCAAAGGGCCAAAAGTATGAACTGAGTAGGGCCCCGAATGGCATGAGGCTGGCGCAAGGCCATCTGTACCAGGTCCCACATTCATTAAGAGCCTTGCGTTCAGACCTTTGACCTTATCTCTGAACTAAGCACTTCGTAGAGTCCCCGAAATACACTGACCGAAGTGAAAGAAGATAATCACCCCCTTACTTGCCACATAAGTGGTGCCCTAGGATGAAATGTGATGGCTCTGTGCCTAGAACACTATTAAGCTAGACTTGTGTGGAGAGCGCTGATTAGATAGAAACATTTTCAACATTTTTTTAAATTACTCTGTTAGTTACTTCCTCAGATTTTAATATACTGAGAGCTTCAAAAATGGAAGTTACCCAGACCCCTCTCAACTAGATGTAAATATGTATTTTCTCTCCTAGGATTTAATTATAGGAAACTGTTATGTCCATGGCATTCCTATATTTACTCTAGACACATGCATTTGGTGTCTGCTATGTGCAGAGTTCTACATTACATGCTGGTAATAAAGAGAAAAAAGATGTAGCTCTGGCCTCAAAAGCCCACAAACTAGTTGGGGAAATATACTTAAATTACTTACATACGTTTAAGTGCTCAAATTGTTGAATCTGGCAAGAGTGTACCGAATTTGTGGGTCGGGGTGAAGACTAGATACAGGAGGCCCATTCAGCTTGTAGCGATGAGGGTCTGAGCTCTGCTGGAAGCAGTGGGAAAGGAAAGAGGCTTGAGACGTGAGCTCTTTAGGAAAAGGCTAATCTTAGGAATGGGGGGCATGGGCTCATCTTAGTAATAGGGGATACAATATTTGAAGAGGACACCAAGGTTTTAAACCTGTTTAACTTTGGAGGGAATGGGCGGAAGCAGGTTATGCTTTAGTGTTTCTAGCTGCACTTGACCACACAGCTCCACTGGCCAAGGCCTGGTGCCTACATCTTCTTTATCTCACTCACTCCAGAAGCCTTTGAATCCGATTACAAGAAAGGCTCGAGTTCCCCATCCTGCCCTTGTCGTCATTTAACTGCATCTGTCCCTATCTGCGACTCCACCTTCCTCTGTTTCTGCCTGAGGATCAAGACAACCCAACTGTGTCCTCTCCATCACCAGGGGAGTCTCAAGAAGGGAAATACAGTCCTGTCTCCACTGTTTCCAAGCCTCCCTGTCTTGACCTGAACCTGGTAAAGAAACCCACGGTGCTTCTGAAATTACAATTTGCTTCTTCTCTCTTTTCTCTCCTTGGACCCTGATGCCTTGTCAACATGGATGCCCCAGAACCAGGGAAAGGATCTGCCAAGTTTCGCCTCTGAGATGGGTCCCTGAGAGGAGGGAGGGTAGAAGAGCATACGTACCTTGGTCTGTGGCTGCACAGGGGAAACCCAGCGACGGGGGGGATGCTGCAGGTTCTGAGCAGAGCCACGGATGTTAGGGGAAAGCTGCTGGGGCAGAGGAGCTGAAGACCTCGTCCTGCTGGAGATCTGGGGGCCAGGATGAAAACTCAGTTAATTTCCCTATTGAGTCCAGAGCATCAGCTTGGAGGCTGCTAAGTATGAGGCCAAGTTAAGCAGGCAGGCTCAGCTCGGGTTCCATCTCCTCCATGACAGTTTCCCAACCCAAAGGCTTTTTTCCTCTGTCTCTGCCTCTGTGGCTCTCTAACCTCCTGTCGGGTTTTTTAATCCCCCTGTGCCCTGATTTATAGTCAGTGTATGACTGTCTCATCCCCCGCCTGGGAGTCATTTCCTTGAAGGCAATGACTAGGCTTTGCCTCCCTCTCCTTCCTACCCTACCTGACCCCTTACTTTGCACATTCAAATTTCTTGAATCACAGTAATGTTCTCTTTCTTAAGATCCAGTGGAGATAGTTGGCTTTTTGAGTGATGGCTCGGGGACCGAGACTTTGGGGACTCAAAGTGGGATGCTAGACCTGGTTAATTCTAATCTGAGGAAGGGAGAGGAGGAAAAGCCTTTTGGGTCTGGGCACCCACCTCTCCTGACCCTTGACTGCAACTCAACACCAGGCTCAGATCCCTTCAGGCATGGAAGTGTGGTTGGAAGTGTGGTTTTGAGTTTGTTATGGGAAGTCTGCTTTATGGATTTTGTTAGTCATCTTTGAAATTAGGCTTTCTTCAGGCTCCTCCACGAGTCTTCCAGCTCAGGTCTGGGACAGCCAAGTCCAGTCATTAAGTCTGACCCTAGCCACTTTCAGACAGGAGAATGGCCTCTGATGGAGGTGGAGGAAGCTGAGAGTCCCCCTCCCCCCAGGGGCTAGCTTCTCTAAGACAGCATTAGGGTATAACTTTTTTACAGAGGGCACAGTCTCTCAGCGTTACTCATCACACCCATCCTTGGGGCTCACCCCTTCTCCTTCTATTCACTGTACACTTTAAGTCCCAAGGACACCAAAATATTGGACTCCCCACACCTGCTCAGTGGACTGTCTGCCTCGGACACAGATCCCTCCTTATCACACTGAGTTGGTGTCACCCAGCAGCATTCAAATTCTAGACCCTTGGCAGGCAGGGCAGGGGCTCTAGTTGACTGCTCTCGAACACCACCTCCACTGACCATTCAGAATTCCCCATCCAGGGTGCCAGGAACCAGGTCACAGCACCCTGTTCTGTGTCTTTCCTCTGTCTTGCTTTTGACTTGCTTATCTCCATTTGAATAGCCCAGGAGAGCCATAGAATATTGATTTTCCATTTCCTCTGCTTCTCCTTCATGTCCCTGGGGCAGGCTCCCTGCTCTACTTTCTCATTTCTCAGCCCAGAGAGTTGCAGAGATTATGCAGGGAGGTGATGAGTTACCTTGGATCTCTGGCTGCCCTGAGCTCCTCTAGCCCATGCCTCCAACTCAGGTAATCGCTGACTCTCTCCGGAAAGGAAATTGAAAGCGACTGAAAGAGAGCCCCAGGGAGTTAGAACTGTCCTGGCCTGTTATAGTCTCTGCTCTTTGCTTTAAACCACTGCCTTACAGTTGGATTCAACTGTTTTCCCCTAGTAAGTGTGATTCTGAAGGGGGGGGGAGTGTTGGGAGTGAAACTTGTCATGCAAAACATTTGGGTGGATAACAGTATTCCTACTTGAGCTTGATTTTTAAAAAGGTTCTTGAGCTGTGTTGGAATTTTGAATGGAGGCGTCCATTCCGAGGGGATGTTTTGGTCTTTGAAGGACAAATCTCTCCGCAGTGCCCTCCCCAGCGCACTCCCTCTGCCCCCTGGCAACCCACTGAGGTTGGGAACAGCGGAACACGTAGGATTTATTTCTCTTCAGATTTCATATCTTAAGAAAATGTACAAGGGAAACAGAATATGTTCCATTGCTAAGCAGCCAAATTCATGTAGTTTTAAATTAAAATTAAAAGTTACATCGCAGGCTCAGTCCTACAGATAAGAGTTAAGACCAAATGGTCCTGTGATGAATCTAAAGCCAGGACTCTCCCAAACGCCGAAGGTAAGTTGTCAGGCACAGGGGGTGCATAGCCCCTCGGGAGAGAAGGGGCACAGAGTGGCAGGGTCCGGGGCTGGTGGGGACACAGGACCCGTGCCCCAGCACAGGCTTTTAGTATTTAAACAGCATCACTAACAGCTCCCAGAATGGCCCATCGTAGGTCAGGACTTAACTCCAGACCCCATTGTGGCTCTTGTTTGAATCCAACCTGGAGAGATAAAGCAATAGCAGAGGAAGCCAGAGCTGGGACCAGCCCCTTGTGGCCTCCGCAGAGGGCCGGATCCTCTCTGCTCCCTGCCAGTCCTTTCTGCCCAGAGATCCCCAGAGAGCAAGACTAAAGCTCTATTCTGGCGCTACGGAGGTCAGCATCTCGACAAGGGAGTGACTTGGCTATACTTGCAGAGAGAGGCGGTTTTCGGTGCTTAAGAGCATCACCTGACTCTCTTCCTACCCTCTGAAAAATCAGAAGCTACAGAGAAGATGTAAGGTTGTGGATTTCTCTATAAGAAATTCAAATCTCACAGCAGAAACTTTCAGACCACGCAGTTTTTGCTCACGTGGAAATGTTCATGCCTGGGGTGTGTCTGCTGGTGGTGAACTGTGTTGGCTGTGATGGGTGCAAGTGACAGCTCTGTGACTGTGCTCCTCTTCTGCCACGTGGGTGATTAGTGACTAGCAGTGTATTTTAGGATGCAGAGGAATGCTCAGCATAACAACATCTGTAGGACAAGGGAGAATAATTTCAAACATGTTTCGGGAGCTATTAAAACCACTTTTACATCTTTATTTTATAAAGCAGCCTTAAGAAAGGAAAAAGAAGATTAACTCAGCTGTTTACTCTGCCTCTCCAACTATTTACCAACCCCTCAGAGACAGCCAGCCGGTGGTTGCCTTTGACCTGGTGAGAGAGGCTATTTTAATTAAGGTTATTGAGAGACTACAGAAAATGCAGTATCATGACTCTGAACTCTGAGCTTAAAACAAACAAAAATAGCCTTAAAAGCAACCTTGTGTGTAATGACTGCTTCTTTCCATTTGCGCAGACCCACAGGATAATGCGCATTTCAAAGAGAAACTTCAAACCCAAACCAATAAGCTCATAGGGTGTAGAGTCGATTCTGTTAGCAAATATTTGATTTGCAAATGTCAGTATCCAGCCTTCTCTAACCGAATCGTTGCATACGTTTATAGTAACTTACCTTTCCTTTCATACCCTTAGTGCTCGTTACAGAAATAATAGCTTCCCTGCTGCTCAGCAGTCACCCACGTGGTGTCACAGACACACTCGGGGCTGTCCCTCGCACCTGTTAAAGCCCACTTGGTCACTGTGAGCAAACATTTCCTGTCACATCCTCACAAAAGCAAAAATTGTGTTCTGGTGATGAAATGATTTGATTTGATTTGATTCCAACCAGTAAGAATATACATCTGTAGAAAGCTGTAAGCCAGTGACAGGAAATTCTGTGCAATGTAGAGATAGATTCATGCTTCTTGAGAAGGTGCACAGCTAACTATCTCAATTTCAGGATGATTTTTTTTATATATAAAAGTGAGTAATTTTATTTTTAAACAGGTGTTAACAAATCTTTACATTCCACCGGCAGAATAAGCTTTTTTGGTGGCATATTTGTTTAGAAAGTGCATTTAACCTCTAAAGCTCCAAGGTCATACATAGTCAGTCTATTTCCTGATACTGGGCCTCAGTTTGAGGTTTCAAACCTTGGGGGGAGCTTACTCACATTGATGAGCATATTGAATTTAGGCCAAAAAAAAAGGAAACCCACAGATCTGTGCTTTTAACAGTGTGTAAGAGGCTGCCTACATCCCAGGCGCTTGTTTCTGAAAGACCGCAGCTAACGAGGTCATAACTTTGTTCTCGTCTGCTCTTCACTGAAGGCATAATTCAATCCAGAGACAACTCAACCTGTCGAACCCGGACTTCAACATCCAGCAGCTGCAGAAACAGGAACAGCTGGCCGGGATCGGCCGCATTAAACCAGAGCTGTACAAGCAGAGGTCCCTGGATAATGACGAAGGGAGAATGGGTAGCGGCAAAGCCTGTGGGAAACTGAACTTTATTTTAAAATATGACTGCGACTTAGAGCAGCTCATCGTGAAGATTCACAAAGCCGTCAATCTGCCCGCCAAGGACTTTTCTGGGACTTCAGATCCTTACGTCAAGATCTATTTGCTTCCCGATCGGAAGACAAAGCACCAGACGAAAGTTCACAGGAAGACCCTGAACCCTGTGTTTGATGAGGTGTTTCTGTTTCCGGTCCCCTACAATGACCTTGCAGCGCGGAAGCTTCACTTCTCTGTGTACGACTTCGACAGGTTCTCCCGCCACGATTTAATCGGCCAGGTGGTGGTGGACCACTTCTTAGACTTGGCCGATTTCCCCAGGGAGTGCATCCTTTGGAAGGACATCGAATATGTCACCAATGTAAGTCCAGCATTTCTTCTTTTTTGGGGGGGGTTGGGGGTGAGGGATGCTTCTTGGTCAGCATGCGAACAAATTACTTGTATCTTATTTTATTTGGGGGGCAAAGTATAAAATCCATGTCAATATACATATAGCTATGGCTTCAGAACCTCCTGTACCTTTCTAGAAACAGGTCTTTAACAATACTCACTCTGAAATTTCCAAGAGTTATTGATGAAAACAATATTCAAGAATAACCTTTGCTCTTTTCTACTTTCTAATTCTTAGCTATTCTCTAATAGACAGTGGATATTATCTGCCCTCCTTACCACATTTTTTTAAAGCTTTCTTAGGTTGTTTGTGCTAAATGGATCCTGGCCTTCTCTCGACCATAATCTGCAGCTAAGAGCATGGAGTCCTTACCCATGTTCTCAGGTCAGCTCAGCTCAGAAGCATGTCTCATGATGAGACCTTCTCCTTTAACCCCAGACGTGAGCATGGTTGAGAAGAGTTGGTGCCACGTTTTCAAATATTGAATTAAAGTTACAGCAAGAGCAGTCTGAAAAGATCTACAGATATTGGCAACACTAATCTATAGAAGGTCAAATCCAATTTAGAGCTCAGGAGAGAGAGGGCAGAAGTGCCGTGTAGTGAAGCCATGTATCCATGCACACGTCTTGAGCACGAGCTCTCAGGGTGCTATTTTTCCTGCATTTATAGCCTTTTCATTATCTTGCAGAGGTGCATGACCTTCCTGAAATAGAAAGGAAAATTGGACTTTCCTAGATAACTGATATTTTAATGCCACTTGTTTCCTTCACCTGTCCAGATTCTCTCAGGGAACTGTTAGCTTGTTGTCTTCTGGGATACAGGCCTTGCCCTCGCCCTTGCCCTCGCCCTCGCCCTTGCCCTCGCCCTCGCCCTTGCCCTTGCCCTTGCATTTCCTTTCCCCTTTCCTTTCTCTGCTTTGCCATCCAAAGACACCAAGTACCGAGTCCTTACTCAGCTCAGAGCAGGCTCCAGCTTGAGTTTGGAGCCCATCTCGTGAGAGAACACACAGATTCTCCGCCCGGTGACCAAACAACCACACCAGTACTTTCTCATCCTCAGTCACTGCTGTGAGTTGGGGACTCACTCACACCTGGGCACCTTCTGTTCACGTGCCAGCTTTGTCCCGCTGCTCAGATGAGTGAAGTGTAGATGGGTTTTGCTGGCCTTTATCACAATGATGAGGAAAGAAAAGGAGGCGCTGGAGAAGGTGCAGAGAGCCTCGGGTGATGAAACTAAAGTGATTTGGGAGGTTGGGGAAGGAACACATCTCTTTAGTCTTGAAACATGTGATGTCCATAAACTAAAAACTTGATGCGGGGGAAGCAAGAATTACCCTTATTCCCAAATCGGTAGGCAGCAGGAAAAGCTCTGAAGAAACAGAATAGGGCAGGTTGCTTATACTGCTGTGAATGGCTGAAGAATGAACTCTGCCACTGGAGTATTTGCCACGTCCCTTTGAGAATAAGCTGAGACACTGCTGGCCAACAATGATGAGCCCTAGTAGAGGGAGGTTGATCGTACCACCTAGTGTGACACCAGTTTATATTTTTGACAGATGACTTCCATAAAATAGCTGGAATGGTGATTAAAAAACTCAACAGGGATCCTGCTGGGAGTTGCCTCCCAGAGACCCTGTGGAGAGAGCAACGCTGAGTGGACAGTGGCTGATAAAAATCTGGGTAATGCTGACCCCTGGTGGGAACATCTTCTGGAGCAGTTTCCCGTGCCAGGAGAATATAGAATGGCAGCCCAAAGGAACTTCTGCCCTGAGATCACTGCCTTTTTAGCACTCTCCTGGGACTAAGTGTTCCCTGTCCATTGCTGGAGAAGTCTTGATTTCCGTAGAATTTGTGAAGAACGTTAAATTATTTATCAAGGAGGAAAACCAATAAGGCTAAAGGCCTCAAAATTCTCAGTTGTTTCCTCTGGCAAAAAAATAAATATTCTAAGCATTGACCTAGGCCTTTGGATGGTCAGCAGGAGAGAGGAGGTCCTGAGAATGGGAATACAGATTATTTTATAATCTATCATATATTTTTAAAATTTCATTAAAGAGTTATTATCTGGGACTGTGTTGACTGTGCTTTTTTGAATGTGACTTTGTATAGAGACTTAGATTTGCCAAGATTTTATTTTTGTAATGGCGTGTATGGAGCACAGTGCATATAATGTACATGTGCCGAGTAATGAGGGAATAATTAAATGAACAGTCATGAACCTTCCCCTCACATGAAGAATAGGACATCACCAGGACTTTGGTGACTCTTGGGTTCTCTCTCATCACATTCTCTCTCAGTCTACTCCTGCCCAGAGGAAACCACTGTCCTGAATGTATTTATTGTGACATATTTGTAAGACAATGTATTGTTTGGTTTTGTCTCTTCCTGCTTTTCATAGCTCTTCTTTGGCTTTTTTTCCCAGTTCACATTGATTTTGACATTTAAAAATAGAGATGAATAGAGCTGTGGTTAATGTGTTTTCATTACTGTATAATATCCCCTTTTGTTGTGTATGACAGATATGCTTTCTTGTATTGATGACATTTGGGTTGGTGTTCATTTTTTTATGTTTCTAAATAATAAGGCAGAGAACATTTTTGTGCACATTTCCTGATTCACATACACAATAATTTCTAGAGTGTGTATCCCTGGTAGAGGTAAGGTACACACATGTTCAACTTTTCTAGGCAATGCTGAGTTCTTTCCACAGTAGCTGTACAAATGGATCCGCCTACTGGTGAGATATGACAGTTCCTAATGCTTCACATTCTCACCAACTCTTGCAGTTGCCACACTGTTGAATATGTGTGCATGTGCATGCATGGAAAATAGTATATAATTTGTATTTCCATGGTTACCAAGGTTGACCATCTTATATGTTTATTGGCCATTCATGTTTCCTGTCTTGTAAAATGCTTGTTCAGCACTTCTTTTCTGTTTTTCTTTTCTTATTAATTCATATATGTAGTCTGTATGCAAATTCTTGTTGGCAATGTGTATTACCAGCATCGTCTCTCATTTACGGCTGTCTTTGTATTCGCTTCCTGGTATCTTTTGATCAATAGAGGTTCTTATGTTTAATGTAGTAAAACATGTCAATATTTTCCATTGAAAGTTAGCACTTTCATGTCTTGTTTAAGGAATTCTTCCTTACTCTATGTCACAAAGCTACTTCTTCTGTATTTTCCATTAGCAATTTTAAAGTCTTGACTTCCCTAATTATGATTTTTAATCCACCCAGAGTAAATTGTTTGTATAGTTAATACAGGTATTCTGTATTAGTCATCTCAGGCTGACAAAACACCATAAACTGCTAAAACAATGGGAATTTATTTCTCAGAGTTCTGGAAGGTAGGAAGTCCAAGATCAAGGTGCCAGCATGTTCATTTCCTGGTGAGGGCCCTCTTCCTGGCTTAATGACAGCCGCCTTCTCAATGTGTCCTTACATGACAGAAAGAGCTTTGGTCTTTCTTCCTCTTCTTACAAGGACACAGTTCCTTGGGGACCCATCCACATGACCTCTTCTAAACCCAGTTACCTCCCAAAGTGCCCACCTCCAAATATCACATTGAGGGGGAGGGCTTCAACACGTGAGTTTCTGGGTGACATAAATATTCAGTTCATAATGCATCTGTATTTCTTTTTCCATATGAATAACCAATGTTCTGGCATATTTCTGCAGTGCGTGCTCTCTCCTATATAGATTTCGATATATGAAGAGTCTGTTCTGGATTCTCTTTTTTATCCATTGTTCCATATGACTATTTCTACCAATAGCATAATTTGCAAGCTACTGTCATTCTATGATAAGCCTTAACATCTGGAAGAGCAATTCAATCATCCAGCCTATGTTTTCTTTAGTTTAGTCTTGACTGATACTTGACTTTTCTCATAAATTTTAGAATCTAATTGTCAAGTTAAAATTTTTTCCTGTATTTGTTTGAATTTGTATGAAGTCTGTAGATTAATTTAGGGAAGTTTTACATCTTTCGCGATACTGAGTCTTTCTGTCTGTAGAAGTATTATTTGATACTTTCACATTTGCTTAACATATTTGATAGATTCTTTTATTCTTCAACATACTTTCAGTTCCCTTTTCTATTTCTCTTACCTTTCCATACATAGTTTGTATATATATGTATATAAATATACATATGTTTACTTATATTCATATATATGTATATAAACATATATACACACACATATATATTCTGATATTCATATAAATACACACACACACATATATATTCTGATATTCATATAAACACACACACATATATATTTATATATTCTGATATTCTGTTACTCATAACTCCAGTAGCTATAACCTTTGCAGCTCTGATTCTTTTGTTTGGCATTTCCATCCACTCAATAACTTATCGTGTCTTGTTGTCTCTTGCATTTAGTGATTTATTATTGTGAGCTCATCTATCTTGGAACTTTGCCAGTACAGTCATCCTTGGTTATCTGTAGGGAATTGGTTCCAGGACTCCCATGGATACCAAAATCTGTAGATTCTCCAATCCCTCAGTAAGCCCTCAGCATCCACAGGTTACTCATCCATGGATTCAACCAACACAGATTGATAATAGAATCTGCAGATACAGACACTGTGGATCAGGAGGGCCACTGACGTTTCCAAGCCCTGGGTTGAAAGGACATTCCTTCAGAGATGATTTGCAATCACTTCTACCAGATGCCAAGGTGAACTGCCAACATGTAGCCACTTCAAACTGAATTTTGAGCTTGAGGGATTTTGGACAACAGAGGTAGGGTAAATATAGACTCCATATGTGTAAGTTTAGGCTTGTATTAGTGGTTAGAAACTGGCAGGGGGAGTTTTATTTTTCTTGCTTTCCCCAGAGCAATCCTGAGACAGTATGGATCTCCAACATTTATGAATGCTAGGTGGATGTTCTGTTTCATTTATCCTTTAAGAATGTGACCCTTAACCTTTAGGACTCCAGCCCT